CTCAGCCTAGGGTTTCCCGTTCCAACGCCACACCAACGTTGTTCTCTCGAGTGACGTACTGTGATGGGTCGTTTGTTTCCGACTCGAGTTTGGCGGCTTATGAGATTACTATTGTCAATTCTAATGGCCAGGTGTACGACGGCAAGGCTGAGACTTTACTGTGTTCGCATCTGATTCAGGCTGGAGCCCTTGGTCTCCTGCTTGCGGTTCATGATGGGATTCCTACCTACATTCGTACGGATTTCCAGGTGCTTTCTCTTGCTCTCAATCTGGACTCCTCGGCATGGCCATGATATTGTCGAGCTACCATTGCTCAGATGTCTCTCCTTCAGTCTGCTCCTTGGATCCGGATTGAGTTCGTTCCCCGACGTCTTAACCGGCTTTCAGATTTGGTTGCTCGCCAAGCTAGGGAAGCTTCGTTACCTTTGGAATGGATTTTAATTGTTAATATCATTGCACCATTGCTGTAACGAACATTTGGTTTCTTTTCGGATGGAGTATAAGGATCCTCTGACTGTCAAAAAAACGTTAGGATTTCTTCAAAGCAAAACTATGGAAACAGAAATGGTTCCCCAATGAACGCCCCCTTGGGAACCAAGAGTTAAAGAATTGTCTATGTAACCCAACTTGAACCAGACATGTGTGAGAAAATTATCAATACATTTTGTCCCCATCTTCAGTCTACTCATACTCCCTTAGTTTATTAGTTTGTTCCTTTTTATTTGTCTTATGCATAGTCTAATCCTTTTATCTATTTGAATTCTCTCCGCTAGTTTTATAATTAGAATTATTAAACCATTCTCATGAATTCAGCTAATCCTTTTAGGCATAGCCTAATCCTTTTATACTTTTTGTAGTTAGGTTCTTAGATTATGGTTAATTTATTTTCATGACTTCAGGGATACCAAGAATTTGCTCTAGATCTGTTAGCGAATTAACCACTTGGTCCCAATAACTTGAGTTGTTAGGAAATGTGTAATATCTTACATGCCCCCTCAAACGAAAGTCGATGCCAAATTGTGGATTTGTATAGTTTGCACAGGTTGAACCCTTGTGTTGCTAAACCACGAGGCTTTAGTTTGCACAGGTTGGACATACCATCCCTTGTGCTAAACAAATGGAATTAAATGGGGTCGTCATGAGAATTCACAACCATGACCTTTCGGTTGTAGGCTCTGATACCATGTTAGCGAACTAACCACTTGGTCCCAATAACTCGAGTTGTTGGAAAAGAGTTTGTTAAGCCCTTTAATTTCTTGCAAGATCCATGACTAGTGGACTGGAACGAATGATGATTGGAAGAGAAGATGGATGAGCATGAAGAAGAAGAAGATTTTCCATCTTCTTCCATAATGCTTTAGACAAACGTAAGTATATATCAAGAGTCTCTTAGGATGAGTCTGAACAAGAAGAAGAAGATATTCCATCTTCTTCCATCATGTTTTAGACAAACGTAAGTATATATCAAGAGTCTCTTACGCACATGTGAAAATAGTGTTACTAAGTCCTCATGGCACACATGTTTCAGTTTCTCCAGAAGTAACTGATATATTACTCAACATTCTGGAAATGCAATGTTGCTACTAGATTGGAGAATCATAGCTCCCAAACACAATCATTTCGTTTATCCCTTCTTCTCTTCTATTCACTTCCCCTTCTCTATTCTCATCTAATATTTTTAGCCTTGTTCCTATGAACTTTACAAGAATATGCATCAATCTTTTAATTATTTGAACTCTTAACTATATGTGTTAGTAACTATACTCTATCTAAGAATTTTATATTAGGGAATACTTTAGATATATGGAGTATCAATGCAACGACAATAGTTTTTTTCTTTGTACAACAAATGAAGAATCTACAATTTCAATTTTTTTGACAAATCAGTTCATTATATAGCAATTGGACCAAGCCCAAAGGAAAAGGTCACACTGTACATCAGAAGAAAGAAAATAAAAGACCAAGCCCACAAAAGACCAACAACCCAAATGGGCCCAGTCAAAGAGCTCCAAGGTTCAATTCTCAACCCTAGCTGCCCATTGTTTCCCCCTATCACCTCCACCGCCGGTGGAAAATCAAGCACCACCACCTGCCGCCATTCAAGGTCGAGGGACATGGAACCAAATATGCAAGCACCATGGAGCGGAGCTGGAACTAACCAACCCGGAAGGAGGGCAGTGAAGGCACAACAATGCTTCTGCAACAAACCCTCTCTAGCCCAAACGCCTTCAGCCCCTCGCCATCCGAAGGAACAAGAGAAACTTCAGATCGTAAGAATGATTGGTGGGGGAGCCATGAGAGATGAACTTCTGTCGCCGGAATCTTAACTCCGAGTCCAAGCCAAAGGTGCGAGATGAAGCAAGGAGGTAGACAAACGAAAAAGAAGATGAGAAAACAAGTTAGATTCAAAATAAATCCAGCCTCCATTGCTAAATAGATTGAGACATCTTTAGTTCTGATAGATTAGAACGGAGGGCAAAAGATCAACTCACAAAGGGGGAGAAGGGAACCCAAAGATGAGCTGGTAAAGACCCACAAATGGGGAAAACAGAAGCTAGAAGCCAAGAACCCACATATGGGAGAGCAAAGCAACAACATAAAAAAAAAGGAAAAGAAACAAGCAAACAAATGAAGGAGAACCAGATAAGGAAAGTAGGGAGGTGGGTGATTGTGGTTTGCCGCTGGTCACCAGAATGTGTCGACGACCCCTTTGAAAATTTCGAAGAGATAGCCTAGAGAGAAGGCAGAGAGTTTAACTACATCTACAATTTCAATTGTGGAGCTTGAGTGAGAAAGAGAGTAGTTTGAGATTTTTATCCAATATTTTGCTTGGAATATGAATATGCAATTTTGTTCTCTACAAACATACATAACTATCTTCTTCTTGGGGTGCAGTGAAAAAATTAGAACACACTTTTAATATATAAAAGCCTAACATATGAGTTACTATTCATTAGTAGCTCTCACTCTCCTTCAAGTGCAAGTGGGGAAGTTCCAATCCCTTCTTTTAACTCACTCTCCATTCTACAACCTTTGTGTTTAGTTATTATTCTCTAGGTTTTCATATAAGGTTTTTTTCATAAATCATCGCATTTGTATTTTGTTATTGTTCGCTAGGTTTTCGTCTATAACTTTTTGTACAAATCAATGCCTTTGTGTTTAGTTATTGTCCGCTAGATTTTCGTCTATGGCTTTTTGCACAAATCATTGCCTTTAATCATTGCCTTTGTGTTTAGTTATTGTTCGCTAGGTTTTCATCTATGACTTTTTGCACAAATCATCGCCTTTGCCCACCATTTTGCAACTCAACTCGAAATACTGTCGGCGAAATCCTAATAGCCTGTTTACTTTCATTTCTGTTTCCTGTTTTTGAGAAAACAGATGTTGAAAACAGGTGAAAACAACATTTTTTCGTTTCCGAAAACAGCAGGAAGTTGCCACTTTCTGTTTTCATAGTTGGAAACGAATAGAAAACCGAATGAAAAGTAAACAAGTTTTCTCGTTTCTGTTGCCAAAGTTATGACATGAAAACAGAAAACAGGAAACGAAAATGAAAGTGAACAGGGGGTAAGTTGTTCCCGACCACCGATTCCAAGGTCGCTACCACGAGTTTTGTATTGGGACCGAGTTTCATACTCATTAGTGTTTTTTCTTTCTTGTTTTTCTTTTCGTTGAGCATGATCACAATTGAACCCAAACACATGGGTATCCTAACTTGAACAAAAGTCATCGCCTTTACCCACCATTCTGCAGCCCATTTAGAAATATTGTTGGCGAAATCCTAAGTTGTTCCCCACCATCGTTTCCCAAGGCTGATATCACGAGTTTCTATCGGGACCGAGTTTCATCCTCTTTAGTGTTGTTTTCTTTCTCTTTTTTCTTTTTGTTGAGCATGATCACAATTGAACTAAATGCCGCTACCGAAATTCCATACCATATCTACTCAATGTTGACGACTTTTGTATCAGGACAGAGTTTCGTTCGCTTTAGTGTTTTTTTTTTCTTTCAATTTTTCCTTTTTGTTGGGGTCATGAGCGAGTTTTATCCGTTTTAGTATTTTCTTTATCCTTTTCCTTTTGGTTGAGATGGCAATTGAGTCCAAACGCATGGGTATACAACCTAATTCGACCCGACCAAAGCGATTTGGACCCATTTTACAGGTTTTCGGCGGGAGCGAGTTTTATCTGTTTTTGTAATTGGCGTGTTGTGTCAGGTGTGAATTTGTCCAAAACTCAATCCAATCAGGTCAAAGCGAGTTGAGCCTGTTGTTGACGAGTTTTGAGTCGGTAGCGAGTTTTAGGTTGAGTGTTTTTTATTTTGCTTTTTCCTTTTGTTTGAGAAAGACAATTGAACCCAAATCAATGAGTATCCAACCTAATTTGAAAAGATCCAGAGAAGCTGCTTCATTCTGCAAAAGTTATAGCAGGATCAACTACTAGCCATATAAATTGAAACATTGGGGTCATGAAAGAAGTTTAAACATAAATAATCTATTTGACGACCCTTCTAACTGATGCAAGTTCATCGACCATATGCTATTGTAAATAACAAACCTATGAAAAGAATGAAATAAGAATACTTTCACTTTTAGGTCAACATTAAAACTATTACTCATTAACATATTTATTTTTCTGATAGGCGAAGCGTTAACAAGCGCGCTTTTGCTAGTATTATTTAATGGTGTGTGTTTTTTTCTTAGATCCATGAGGAGCTCTTTAACCTATTCTCTTTAACTCGTTAGCTATTCTTTTTTCTGAATAAGTCCATTTTGTGTAGATTATGAAGTTGATAGATCAATGTTACCCGAATTAAAACTTGGAGTCCATTTTTGCTCAACGGGTTATTGCACGTATTTAGGCTATTGTTTATTCCTTCCCCAAGTGTTTGCAAAACTAAATCGTTTCATCTTCGTTGTTTAGAGTTATCAAAGTGATTTCATCTTTTCAAAATTGAAAGGAGTCTGCAGGTGTTCAGGCTACTCATGCATTCTTATACTACCTAGGCTACTCATAGATGAGATATGGTACAAATCATTGTGTTCCTCTTTCAACATTCTCTACTTCCAAATGAGGCTTTCATTCGAAGAGTTATCAGTCACTAAGGTCACCACCAAATTGTCTCTGTAAAACTTGGCAAGCCAAAATGCCACCATTAACACACCAAATGAGGCTTTCATTCGAACAGTCACTAACTAACAAACACAGATCGAAACTTGGAGCACAACATTGACCTTCCGCAGCATCTGGAACAAGCAAACATCCCCAACTTTAAGCTCATTGTCTCTGTAAAACTTGGTAAACCCTTTCCCAGAAAGGCGCGGCCCTCCTTGATCCATGAAGCGCATCTCGACATCCCACATTGAGTCCTTCCCTCCTCTTGAAAGTTTCAGCTTCACAGATTTAGCATTCATCATGTGCTCCTTACAAAACTCAAGTGGCACGAACTGCGCACAATCATATAGTCAGATAAACAGATTAGCCACAATAATGACACCACAAAACCCAACACCTATAAGTTGAATTTGAAGTTATACGAGTGTCGCCATCTTTCTACCATGCGATGTGGATTGTTATTGTGTCGCTGCATAACCACAAGGAAAGACGGTAAGTTTCCACACTTGATCGCCAGGGCTTCTTTCACTGCCATCTTGATTTCCATCGACCATCCATGTAGTTTGCGTGAAAGCTTTGAGCCAAGGAAGATCTCCCTCCTTTTCAGTTCCTTTACCAGCATTTCACCCAAATCTTGGTCGCCATCTGCAAGTCGAACGAAAATGTAAGTAGAGAAACATGGCTTTTTTTTACTCCTTTAACATAACAACTTCATTACCCGAATCAGAAGCATTGTTCTTCTTCTTCTTGAGTGGCTGGGAAGAACAGAGAAACTGAACAGAGTCGTCCTCGTCACCATCTTCAACAGCGGTGAATTGAGGAGTTTGCTGGGTTGGTGGATTTGGAGGAGAATCCAGAATCTGGACAGACGGCGAGTCGTCCTCTTCGACACCATCATTATCAAAGCCGCCTGAAGGGTAATCGATTTCACAAGTGGTGAGGTCAAAGATCTTAACTTTGAAACTTGAAGCTCCCGCATAAACGAATGACATAAACCAGTATTCCGAAACAGAGTTTTCTTCCACGAAACGGGACCAGCCATCGTCGAACCAAAATTCCCCCACTGCCGGTCCCTTCAAAACGCCAACATCCCAAACTCGACCGTTTGGCAGGGAAAGTTGAGCCCTTCCCGTCAGCTTCCCGCCTTGTTGTCCGGCAAATTCCCTAGGCAATTTCTGATAATCAACCAGTCAGAAAAATGTTTTAAGATTTGCAGAGGATTCTGGAAACATTTGGGTACAGAAACAAGAAAGGGGATGAGCTGTTATGTTCTTTTTTTTTACCAGCTTCTTCTCTTGGAGGATGCTTGGAAGCATTATTGTGAAGAAAGCCATGAGAGGCAGAGGATTGCTGGAGATGGGTAATATTCCCTTATTTCGGATACAATGCTCTGTTTCTTTCACAGTACTTTGAGGGGAACTGAAAGGTTCTTCAGTTGGGTACTTTAGACTAACGAGAGGGAGTTACAGTGATGTGGCAATTCCAAGGGTCACGGGGAAATGAATCGCTATTGAACTCCTTCCAGCGGCAATTCTTTTATTTATAATGGAGCTAGTTTTTTATTATTACCACAACCTAGGGAAATTGGTAAAAGACTAAAAGAGTAAAGAAGAAGTAACTAGCCAGGGATCAGCTCAGCTGACAGATATCCTGACTGTCAGTACAGTATCCAAATTTCCAAATTTCCAACTTTCCATTATCCCAAATGTTTAGCAGGTACTTCCCCTACGCGCCTACATATGCCAATGGCCACCGTTCTCCTTCTACACCTCTCAAACTTGAAGATTAAAAGCCAAAAAGATCGTCCACAATTTATTTTGCTCAAAGAAGAAAAACCACAAGGGCCGTCTGCCATCCATGGAGAGACCCTGCAAAAGTTTCTTCAGGGTAATCCTCCCTGACAGCCTTAAGAAGCTTGTAAGTTGTTAATTACACACCAAGTCCTCTGTTTCCTCTGCATTTTTTTTTACACCTACTTTCTTTCAATACACCCTGCCTCTTCTCTTTTCAGGAGCTGCCATTGAAGTTTGCAAGAATGCACGGCGAAGAACTTAGAAAAAATTGCCGGATTTACTTGCCAAACGGAACCTTTTTGAAGGTTGGAGTGACCAAAGGGCAACAAACTGGAGAGATTTGTCTGGATAAGGGGTGGCCAAACTTCGTGGAGGAAAACTCTGTTTCAATCGGCTGTTTTCTGGTGTTTGATTACCTGGGATCATCCAAGTTCCAAGTTGAGATACTCAAAATCCCTGCTGCTTGTGAAATCGTCGACCCATCTCAGTTCAACGTTAAAGATGAATCCTTGGATCACGATAAAGATTCCGTCCAGATTCTTGGATCTTCTCTTCCAACTCCAACGAAGAAAAGAGGAAGTGGGCTTCCAGCTAAAAGGAAACATGCCGACCAAATTGGTAAACATTGTGATTACAGTAAAATCTGGACTCTTCCTGCTCTGTTTTTTTTTTTTTTTTTTTTTTTTTTGCTCATTTCATGCTCGAGTCCTCTCTTGTTTATGAACTCCGCAGTTGATGAAGATGGAAACAGGGCAATGTTGAACGACCTGAAAGCAAAACAAATCTTCGTCAGCAGACTCTTCATCTGCACAATTCGCACAATGTCCGGCGAAAGCAAGAAGGCCTTGGAAGAAGCAGTGGCCGCCGCTGAGCAGCCCAGACTCGTGCCTTGTTTCATAGTGGTGATGCAGCGTCACAACATTGGGCGAGGGGCTCAGCTGGTGAGAGATGACCTCCTCCTCCTGGAAGTTTACTATTTCAATATCTCGCCATGGTGAACTAATTGCTCACCTTCTGTGTGGTGCAGAATGTGCCTGCTCAGTTTGTTAAGGAGCATATGGATAGCGGAGATTGCAAGAAGAATATAGCACTTCGCTGTAAAGAGGAGAACTGGAATGCTGAAACTGTTTCCAGAGGTGGTTCGGGGCTATGGATTAACGAGGGGTGGCGCGAGCTGATGGAATCCGAGAAGTTAGAAGAAGGGGATGTATGCTTGTTCGAGAAACTGACGACCCGGGATGGGATTGCGCTGAAAGTTTCAGTCTTTCGGGGAAGCCAACTCTCTAGTGGGAAGTAGTGGAACTTAGTGAGTTCTAGTACTGTAAGGAAGCTTGATAATGTTTTGGTTTCCAATTATTCCTGTTGTCTGTGTGTTTTCTGTTCGATCCTTTGTCATGGTCTGTGGGTTCGTAGTTAATTAGGTTTTGGATGGGATGGAATTGATTAGAAAGATGTGTTGATGAAGGTTGCAAGAGGTTTTAGGATGAACCAGGAAAATGGTTCATGTTTTTGTCTGATTCTCTTGTGTTGTTGTAACCTCTGCTGAAAATGCATGGCTTCAATGGTAATTTATTTCCAAACTTTTACAATAATGTTCAAGATTAGTAACAGCTACTTGACTTCAAATTGTTACCAATCAATCCTAAGAGTAACCCTATACTTGAATTTGAAAAGAAATTTGAAATCTCAACTCAATTAAGTTGGCTCCATGAAGTTTAAGTCACTTGAGTAATTTCAAAATGAGTTATCATAGTTAGAATTTGATTGTACGTACATTGGTACAACCATTTGGATAATTTCAAGTACTATACTGATGTGTTATTTCAAATCAATTCAATTAAAATACAATCCAAACTCAATTCAACTCTCACCCAATCCAAAAATTATGTTACCTTTGAAATCTAAATATTACTTTACTAATAACCAAATATATAGTTCCGTTTGGATCAAGCAATGGATATGCCCATCCATCATTGCCATTCTTGTAATTCTCTGTCCATCTCTATGATAAAGAAGATTGGTCAGCAACCATTAGGGATGTCAACCAAATCTGAACCCACGGGTACTCACCCGATCCAACCCGGTCAATGCGGGTAAAACCCGTGTTGATGGATTTTGAGTCGACTTTGGGTTTAAACCCGTTTACTATTTATCGGGTTGGGTTGAGTTTAGGTAAACCCACCCCATGAGTATCCGCCCACACCCATATAATTAATTTTCTCGATATATTTAATATTCTAAACAACTAATCTTATTTATGTTTGTGGACACATGTCTAATTTTTTTCTTTCTAATTGTGTAGAATGAGGTTTATGTTATTGAGTGGAGAGTGAAAAAACTTAATTGACAAGGAGAAAGAAGCTTTCAATTAATCATGTTATTTATGGATAATTTGTGATTTGCTTCAATTGTCTTATGTTTTCTAGATTGGTGTTGAACAATTTGTATAGTTAATTTGTGATTTGCTTGAATTTTCTAGAATGGTGTTTTATATATGAATAATTTGTATTGAGAGATTGATATTTGACTTTAATTTTGATAGAAACTTGTTATTGTAAATTTTTTTAGGCAAAATACACTTGTATATTCATAACTTTCACGTTTGTGACATATAATACATAACTATCGAAATACACGAAATACCCAATTCCGTCGATTTTGTTAACGGCGTCAGTTGACGGTATAACTAGACTAACGGTAGAAGCTGAGTTGCCGATTGATTTACCCCACCAAATGACGTGGATTATAAAGAAAAAAATAACAAAAATTAAAATACAAAAAAAAAACAAAAACAGAAAGAGAAAGAGAAAGAGACTGAACTAAACCCTTTTCTTCCCTTCCCCGCCCTACTCCTCCCGGAAGAGCGACCTCTCATCTTCTCCCTTCTTCTTTGTATCTTCCCATCAATCTCTCTTCCAACCTCTGATCTACCCTTCTTCTTCTCTGCATCTTAGTCCGAACCTTCGATCTCCCCCCTTCTTCTTTGAATCCCCCCGTCAATCTCTATCCCAACCTTCAACCCAGATTCATAACTGTCGGTCAACCCGCCAAGCGAGCTCTAGGCGACATCTGGAATCTGGCAGCAAGCATCGCCCATGAAATTCCCAGGAAGCAGATCGCCCCCTAAACCATTTATAATTCTTCTTTCTCTGCCCCGTCAAATCGTACAAGCAATAGAAGTCCATGCCCATGATTTTGAAGTTCAATAGATGCTCGAAATTGATGTGGTGAAGAGATTCCGCTGGCGGTTGCGGATCCAGATCTCTTTTGCCTAATAAGCTTCTTTTCAGTGGTAGCAGTTGGTAGGGGAAAAGCCAACTTCTTCTCAAAATTCTCAGAACCCGATTTCCCCCTTTCCTCCTTTTGTTTGATGTTGAATGCTACTTTTCGAGGTTGGGTACGGGCAGCAGGGGGAAGGATCTGGTTTGCGAAGGGAAATCAGAAGCACAAGGACGACAATTTGTCCGGTACATTTTTTGACCCAAAAACTCATCATCTCTCCTTCTATTTTTCTTTGGTTGATTTGATTTCAGTTTTTCGAGATTCAAGTTTCTTTCCAGAACTATTATTAGGTTTAAGAGGAGTAATGGGGGATCTGATTATTAGGTTTAAGAGGAGTAATGGGGATTTGATTTTATTAGGTTTCATAACTATTATTACCTGATTATTCTTTTTTGTCGTCGGCGTTTTCTAAAGATGGGTTTTTTTTTCGATCAGCTACTGTGTTCGGCGAGCTATGGAGGCTGGAGCCACGGGAGAGAGAATAAATCAATGTGGCAGAGAGAATTATTTTTATTTTTTATTTTTTGCTGACATGGCGTCCACATGTCAAATTTTGCTGACCTGAAGCTTAGGTGTGGGATGGGTATGGTCCTAGTCAGCGTTCCGTCACATTTACTGACGCCGTAACAAACGGCGTTAAAGTTTGTAACGGAAATGGATAGATTTGTCACACGATAGTACGCTTTTATGGGTATTTCGTGTATTTCGATAGTTATGGATATATTTGTCACAAACGTGAAAGTTATGAATGTAATAGTTAAAAGTTGATAATATTTGTTGGATTGTAACTAAATTGTCCACAAATATGTTTTATATATGATTAAATACATGAGATATTAATTGTTTTCACATTTTTTTTAAACCGACATGAACCGGCACAAACTGGTTATACCACCGATCGTAGCATTCCATTTGCCAAATCGGGACAACGTTGTAAACCGGTTTGACAATCTTGGTAATTTTCAAACACCTTAATTATGAAAAGAAAATCATCATCATAGACACAACGTTTAAAACCACCCCAGACCTTACTGACAAAGGCAATAAACCAGACCTCATCGAACAGAGGTTCCAAACCCCAAAAAAGACCTTACTAATCACCATCGTCCCAAGTTCAACAGAGAGTCAAAGCACTACATTTTCCTAACCCCAAAATGAACTTCAACCCCAACCGATCACCTTCAAACTTGACTACCCTCCAAACGGAGAGGCCCTGTAGATTGAAACCAGAAACTCAACCTTCTCCTTTGGCATCAGCTGAAAAAGGCACAAATCCCCTGCTTCCAAATTGTTCTCATGGTAAAACCTCTGCCATTCTTCTCCCAGCAGCCTGAACATCCCGTCACCACCAAAACTGGCTTCAACAACCCATTTCCCTCCTCCTGAAACCTCCTTCAGAATCACAGCCTCGCCATCCCCGGTCAGGTTCTGTTTCACAAATCCGGTTGGTACAATCTGCCACATTCACCAATCAAACTAGGAACCTTTCAAGCATCGAATGACATGAAATTGACAGAACAAGAGCTTCAAGTGTGTGCCTCTTACCAGATTATGACGTCCACGGGACATGATTACAGCAACGAACGAAGGACCGTCTTCGAGCTTGTTCTTTATTGCCTCGCGCAGCGCCTTCTTGCTTGCTTCTGACATCTTCCTGAACGTACTAGAGAACTTCCAGCTCACGTAGATTTCTCTAGCTTCTAGTTCATTCAAGATTGGAACCCATTCCTCTTCACCTGCAGAGAAAAAAAATGGGATTTAACAGTGATCGCCTTCTCAAAGTAGGGGAAAAGAAAAAGGTGGGCAAAATGGTTATTTTCACATCTCACCACGCGAATCTAGAGCCTCATCAACCACATTATCGTCATCATCATTATCTTCCGATTTCGTGGAGCCGAGGTAAATGACAGATGATTCGCCGCCGTTGTTGTCGGTAGGATCATGAATTGGTGGGTAGGGGATCTCACAGGTGGTCAAGTCGTATATCCGGACATGGAAGATCGACTCCCTAACGTATTTGAAAGTGAGGAAATAATGCAGCGAGACAGAGTTCTTATCCATGAAACTTGCCCAACCTTTGTCGAGCAAGATGTCCTGAATCCTAGTTCCCCTGCCTCTGGATACACCAACGCTCCAAACGCTGCCGTTTGGCAAGTGGAGTTGAGCCATATTCCCGCCCAGTTGCCTACCATATCTTCTCACAAACTTCACTGGAAGCTTCTGCCACCTCGGTCCAAATGGTAACAGAGTAAGAGGCGTGAGTGAAGCAAGTGAGTAACTTTGCAAACGCATGAAAAATGAAACAGACAGATACAGAGGAAAGTGGAAGGAGTATTATTGGTCTTACGAGCTTCTTCTTCTCCATGACACTTGGAAGCATTATGCTGAAGAACACCATGCTGGATCCGTCTGGAGAGGAGGACTTCTTCAACCGTCGTCGTCGAGAAGGGCCGCTATTATTTGGCGCGGCTCTTTTGAGTTTTCTTACAGGCATTTCTTGTTTCCAGAGAGCAGGCAGAGTTTTCACTTTCTACTCCAAGTTTCTGTTGGTTATGTTCTCCACCAAGTTGGAGACATTCGTTGAAGGAGAGATGAAGTTATTGAAGTTCATTTTTTCTATGTATTTTCATATCGTAAAAAAAGAAAGAAGATGAGGAAATTGCAGAAAGGAAACCAAAAAAAAAAATTGTCTGTCAACTGTTTAAACTCCACTTTCTCAAGCAACACAAGCATGGTTTGAGTTTGACAGCCCTCAGTGGGCTGTTGATGATAGACTACACCAAGCTTATGGGGATTCATTTTCATCAAAATGATCATTAATTTCTTGTGCCAGTGTACATAGTTCTCAATCATCCAGTCATAATCAAGAAAAAAACAAAGACTGCCACCTATGTACTTCATCTCATATAGGTTCTACCCTAAACTCCCCAGTTCAACAACATGATAATGGAACATCTCAGACAGGTACTGGTACTGTGATGATATCATATCTTCTGGTAAAGCTCTAAAGATTGAGATTCTCCTAAGGACTTATATCAACTGAAAGATGCAAACATCCCCTACCCCAAAATTGTAATCACTGGCAAAAATCTGTCCATCCCATTGCCACAAACATCCCTGCACAGTCTCTTGATGTCGTTTCAAGCTTCCACCTGTTCACCCATCACCGTTTCAACACCTACAGAGTACTGATTTTACCTTCTCCACGAGTACGGTATGTCATGAATGAAGATGATATTGTCTTCCACAAGGTTATTAAACCCTTATCGAATCCCCGGTTGGACCCGGTCCAACTCGAATCGAGTTTCAAAACGACCTGTAGAAAGTAGAAAGTCTCGGATCTGACCCCCTAAAGAGGGAGAAGAAGAGAGGGTGAAGAGAGGAAGAGAAACGAATGAAGGAAGATGGTTGGTGGATCATGAAGGTTAGATAAATTTATCTTTTGAAAAACAAGTTTTTAATAGATATATGTAAGATATATTTTATTTCAATCATTGAATATTTAATTACTACCTTATTTGTATATATATCTAGAAAACGCCTAAAATGGCTCAAACCGACTGGACCCTAATCAGACCATTAAACCTCAAATCCCTTTATGGACCAGTTTAATGACTTAAACCTGTTTGACAACCTTGGTCTTCCACCATAGATCACAAAATAGGGACAAACATATGAATAATGATTCGATGTTTAATTGCAGACTTTTACTGCTCACTGGAAGTTTTAAACTATGTTCAGGAAGGAAGGGAGGAAAATGGAGAGAAAGGAAAATGAAAGGGGAAGGAAAAGGAGGGGAGAGAAAGGAAAATGAAAGGGGAAGAAAAACAAGTATTTAATGGACTTAAATATTAAAAAAGAAAGACAAAAGAAAGAACCATGTATGTGTCCCTCTCCTTTCTCTCCAAATTGGAGGGGAGGGTTCAACAGTACAAAAGGTGGAAAGTTTTCCCTTCTTCCATACTTTCCTTCCTTAAAAAACAATGGAAAACTTATTGAGAATCCCACTTTCCTTCTTCACTTTCCCTTCCCCTCCATTTCCTTCCTTAGTGAACAGAGTGTCAAAGTTAAAACGTTTGCTGGAATGGATTGGAACGAAGGGGTAGTAAAAAAAAATTGGGTTTAGGATTTAGAAGACCGTGATCTAATTGAGGTGTAGTTTTGGCAATATAAATAAAATTATATTAATTTGCAAGTTTATTTACTGTTGCATACGGCAAAATAACATAAACTTCTATTTAATCGGAAACATTTATTCAGGTACTGTTCACAATCAAAGAATTGGTACCCTGCGGTCTGCTCTATGATAGACCCGAGTCTTTACTCTAGATATTATTTGTCGGCTAATCAAGCATCCGCTACACCCATAATGAGTGAAAATAACCCATATAATAGCAACAGTTAAATTGAGTATATATTGCAAAAATTATTAAACCGTATCAGAGATCTACAGAAAAAGTCGGTGATAGGGTATTTTATGTTAAAACCGTGGTTTAATAGTTTTATACCACTAAATACTGTCATCGCGTTTTGCATAAGAAGTTAGTCCAGTTAATATTTTCAAATGAATCTAATTTACTAAAATAAATAAAATACAGACATAGTCATTTAAATGTATTTGTAATTTGATAATAGTTAGGTAAGACACAATTGGGGATTTAAGATTGTAAAAGAAGGAGAGGAATCTCGGCGATAAACCAGAGCACGAGAGAGGAGGAGCTGAGCTCAAATGGAAGAATGAGGCAGAATGAATCCCACTCCCCAAACGGCCCGATACTTATAGTTATTAGAGGGAAGGCGAAGGGTTAAAGTAACCTCGAAAATCCCAACCGTCAGACGTTTCGAATTTCAAAATTCGCCCGCCCAAACGAACCAACCAGGTAAGGACACGTGGACACCTATCCCAAGTGGGTACTAGCCGCTGACGTAACTAGTTACGCACAACGCCTGGGGGGCATGGCACACCCGCAGGGAAAAGAAAAAATCTCTCGCGAAGATCGCGAAGAGAGGGGAAAAATCTCGGAAAGATCGCACACACTATTCAGAATCTCGGACCCCAAGATCCGCGCTCTATCAGGCAACTACAACAGAGCCTCTCGCGCAAGCCACGGAACACGCGAGGAAGAATCGCAACTGCAATAATCACGCTCGATCAATTACCGCGCCGTCGATGATTCGAACCCCACAAGGACCGAGCGCGCTATCAGGCAACCACGACAGAGCATCTCGCGCAGCTACGGAATGGCAAGGCGCACGCGAAGAATCCCGGGAACAGCGCCCAGGCCCGAGTCAATCAAGCGAAGACCTAAACAGAGGGCGTTCTCAGAACACCCTCTGATGGGGGGCAATTGTTGGGCATATGACTCGGACCTAGCTGTGCAAGGCAGGACGCGCCGACAGAAGGCGCGCACGAGGGTCCAAGGCGCGCATGAAGTCCTAAGGGCGCGCCACTATGCGTGCGCGAGTGGAGAAAACCAACGCGCGAGCACCCAGAGCCCCTCACGAGCTGCGCGAGAGTGAAGTACCAAGGCGTGGAGGCTCAGGCGCGTCGTAAGCCTCGAAGCTATAAGGAGCTCACTTCACACTTCCCGAGGGTCGGCCGCATAGGGATCAGTGACACAGTCGTAGGTACACCCCTGACATGTCCTAGGTAGGGGGATGGCCGAAATCCCCAACGTGTCAGTGGTCACATCAGAGCCTAGGTCCCATCATGTAATCCAACCACTCACCCACCACCATGTAGCCTATAAATATGGCATTTACTCCGGTGGGTGAGGGGATCGCATTTTTTCACCATTCTCTCTCTACAAGAACTACTTCTCTTTCTAATCTCTCTCCCACTCTCTCTCTCTGATTCTGATTCCCCCGATCAAACCCGGCTCTCACGTTTCTTCTCGACCCAAACTCTCATTCGAGCCTCACTCCTACACTCAGTTAGGCTCAAACAGTTAGGTAAAATACAAATGCATAATTTCTTCCGCAATAGTTAAATTATGTGTGTTGGGTATGACTTCCGTAATGATTCGACACTCTACGTAATATGATGTTAGTCTTCATTACGTAAAGGACCGTGATTACATAAGACTTACTAAATAACAGTTTATAACAGTTACATAAGATGCAAATACATTACATAAAGATTACATAATGACATTGGCACTTATTTGCTACGTAAGAGTTCAATCAGCTATGTTCTGTAATGCTCCTATAATGGCTTAACAATTTACATAATGTGGTGTTAATCATTATTATGCAAAAGGACCGTTCATTTAAATGTGAGACTAGTATGTAACTTGATTTTATTATTAGATAACACGTTATAGGATATTACAACATCTTTCTATAGCAATCAAAATGTGTTATATAAGTCTTCCGTAATAATCAAGATTCTATGAAGAGTGAATGAATATTTCTTATAAATCAATCAAAATGTGTTATATAAGTCTTTCGTAATAATCAAGATACTATGTAAATGAAATTTTTTCACTCAAACTATTTTTGAATAATTTTATTTCAACCGAATCATTAAATGAGTAGATAAAATTTACGACAAGACAAAATGATTAGTTTATACAGGTGCGAATCACGGGAAAAAAAATAGTTTCGATTTAAAGGCCAAGTTGAATTGGTACAACCGGCTCCATTTTAAGTTATGTGTTCTCTTTCTCTTTCCTTATTTGGGGAGACAATGAAATCAAATTTAAGGGTAACTGACTTGATTCTTTGTGGCTGCACAAATTTTTTTTGGGGTAATCAAAAATTGCATTAAGCTTTGGAGTATGCAACTGCATAACCTCCTCGCAAGTGTTTACAACTCAGAAAACAACATAGCTTTGGAAATTAAAATCAAACTCAAGTAATATATCTCTCATCTTCACTCCATCTGTTGGGTCTCTAGCTGCTAGTAATCTGCATTCATTCTGGATCCTCATAACAAGCTGCCCATGCGAATTACAGGCGTGAGTGCCATACATTCTAGAGCATCTCTCCCTCCATATAAAACTTAGGGTTACAATTCATAGTAATCTGCCAATCACTATCTAATCTCATGTACCTTTCCAAACTTGAGTGCTCCAATTTAAGTGCATCTCCCAACTTGAAAACTGAGGTGGACTGCATACACATTCTAACGTTTTAGCCCATACCTAGGATGGGTAACAACAGTCCCCAAATAGATGGTTTCTACTTTCTGGTCTCAATTCCTCCTAGACATAGCGGACAGTTTGCCTCATCATTCATCCTCCAAGCTACCAACTTATCCTTGGTATTAATCCTATCCATCACAATCAACCAAACCAAAACACTATGCTTCGAAATTTGAGGCTTCCCCCACACAACCTCTGGATGAGAAATTCTGAGTGTATTCCAGATTACTGATAATGAATATCTACTCATCAATTTCCCATCACATCCCAGAGAAGAGAAGGACTCATACATGTAATGAAAGGTGATAGAATAACACGACTCTTTAGTATTCTTCGCCAAACCCACGAACCTGACGAGTTAGACTGAAGATCCCAGATAGTTCTATGCTTGATGCGGTACTTCTCCACCCATGCCACCCATATAGAACCTGCCTCTGCAAGAATACTCTAGATATGCCTTGCCATACGCGCTCTGTTCCATGTC